CTTGGAAGTGAGAATGGCCATCTTCATCTCACCAACTTTGGTCATGTTGTCAGAAGGCACCATTCCGTGGAGAAGGATATCATGCTTGTCAAAGTGAAAGGTCAGCGGGGAAGACCCTCAATGAGTTGGATTGATAGATTGGCTGTAATGGTAGGTGCAAGCATAGCAAGGCTTGTGAGGATGGCTAATGACTGGCCAGTGTTTCCTTCTGTTGTACATAGGATAACTATGAGTCAGCACTGACTTGATGGCACCTAACAATACCAAAGTGAACTGTTCTAGAGCTCTGGTGGTGTAGTGGGTAGGCATTTGGTGGATAACCAAAGGGTCAGTAGTTCAAACACACCAGCTGCTCCTGGGAAGAAGATGTGGTGATCTACTTTGGTAAAAACATACAGCCTTGGATATCTTATAGGGTTACTATGAGTCAGAATCAAGTCACTGAGAGTGGGTTTTGTTTAGTTTTGTTTATATCCTGTTCCAGTAATAAATCAGACAGTGTTTCACTGCTATTCACAAGATATTCAGTGCCAGTTTTTCCAGAAGTGACTGGCCTATCCTTTTTTCATTGTCTGTCTTAGTCTGGAAGCTCCCCTGATGAAGATCAAAAACTATAGCCTTTACTATGGATTATACCTCAACATAAAGATAACAAATGTCATCACTATGGGACCAATAAGCAACATCACAGTAAATGGAGAAAAGATTGAAATTGTCAGGGATTTTATTTACTTGGATCTACAATCAATAACCGAGGAACAGCAGATAAGATATCAGACATCATATTGCACTGAGAAAACCTGCTGTAAAAGACTGCTTTAAAGTGTGAAGGAGCAAAGTTGTCATCTTGAAGACTAAGGTGTATCTGACTCTTCAAGACATGGTATTTTCAGTAGCCTCATATGCATATGAAAGCTGGACAATAAATAAGGAAGAGCATAGAAGAATTGATGCCTTTGAATTGTGGTGTTGGTGCAGAATACTGAAAGTACTGTGAACTGCCAGAAGACCAAAAGAATCTGTTTTGGAAGAAGTATAATTGGCATGCTCCTTAGAAGTGAAAATGGCCAAACTTCATCTCCCCTACTTTGGTCATATTGTCAGAAGAGACCAGTCCCTAGAGAAGGATATTATGTTTGGTAAAGTAGAGAGTTAATGAAAAAGGGGAAGGCCTTCAATGAGGTGAATTGATGTAGTGGGTGCAATGATGGGTTTCAGCATGGCAACGATTGTGAGGCTGGTGCATGATTTGGTAGCATTTCGATCTGTTGTACATAGAGTTGCCATGACTTTGAGCTGAGTCAGAGCTGACTTGGCAGAACCTAACAACAACAACAGTGTCTATTCTGGTACTACCAATTTTAATGTTTATAATTAGTTTCCTTTAGTTTGAAAGAAGCATATTCCAAGCAAAAAAAAGTCCTTTGGAAATTGTGTTGATATGAAAGCATCTTGGTATTTTTCCCAAAGTGATTGGTAAAACTCTAGTACCTTAATATGCTGCAAGGGGAAAAAAAAAAAAAAAAGCAGTGGTCAAAACGTTTAGATATTCAGCATACTTTATTGCCTTTTCAGATATTTTCAGCAAGTGCATGCATCTGATGTTCTTGTGGTTGTTAGGTTCCACTGAGTCAGTTATAACTCATGGCATCCTTGTGTACAGCAGAAGGAAACACTGCCTGGTCCTGTACCATCCTTACAATCATTGCCACACTTGAGCCCATCCTTGCAGCCACTGTGTCAATCTATTGTTGAGGGTTTTCCCCTTTTTTGCTGACTGTCTACTTTACCAAGCATGATATTCTTGTCCAGGGACTGGTCTCTTCTGATAACATAACCAAAGTGTAGTCATTCTTCATTCTAAGGAGCATTCCTCTTGTACTTCATCCAAGACATTTTTGTTTATTCTTCTAGAAGTCCATGGCAAATTGAATATTCATTACCAACACCACAATTCAAATGCATCAACCCTTCTTCAATTTTCCTTTTTCATTGTTTCAGTGTAGTAAATTACTTAGTGTGGCTTTTCTATCCATAAGTCTTTGTAAACTCCAAGGTGGGATTTTCTATGAGCAACTGAGGAGCTCCTGATTGCTGAAGTTGTCCATCTGGAGTATTTCTCTTGGGAGTGGCACAATACAATGTTCTGGGAGGTGCCCACTCTATCTCACGTGCTTTGAGTTCTGATGCTGTGATTGGCTAATTTGACCACCCTGCCGGGCTCAAAAGGAGGCCTCCTAGAGGCAGAACTCTCTCGGACTGCTGGTTGAGGAAGACATGATGCTGAAAGAGACACACATCCCTGAAAGAGACACGTGCTGCTGGGAAAGAGGCGCAAGAGACATGCATCACTGAGTGAGACACCGAGGGACCAGCACTGCTGGGAAAGAGACTTGTGAGAGACTGTTGGCTGAGGGACGGTGGGCTGGAGAGAGAGAGACTGAGCATTTTTCCTGAACGCAAATTGTAGCTTGGTACTTCTCTAATAAACCTTGTAATCTGTGAGATCTGTGTGGCCACTGCAGCGAATTATCGAACCCAGGAGAGAGGTGGTGGGTGCTTTGGGAGGAACGGTTGGTGGGAGGCAGCATGTCTGGCCTTGCAGTAATAGGCCTTGAGTTACTGCTGGTAATCCTGCCTTCCTTTTGTGGGATTAGAGGAGGTCAGAACATGTGGCCTCCTTGCCGTTTTTGCAATTGTCCAGCTCCCACATGCATATTAGGCTATTGATAATACCATGACTTGGGTCAAGTATAACTTAATCTTCAAAGTGACATTGTTGCTCTTTAACACTTTAAAGAGGTCTTTTGCAGCAGATTTGCCTGATGCAATATGATGTCTGATTTCTTGACTGATGTTTCCATGGGCCTTGATTATCAATTCAAGTAAGATGAAATCCTGACAACTTCGAAATATTCTCCATTTATCAAAATGTTGCTTATTGGTCCAGTGTGAGGATAGTAACTGTGAAGTCCTCTAGGGAGGAACCCGAATCAAATTTGATCCTTGACTACTTCTCTTCTATTTTCATAATATTCTTTGAAACAAACTTTAGCAAATATGCTAGTTATATATGAGTGCCGGGAGCTCTGGTAGCGTGGTGCCTAAGGCACTTGACTGCTAACCAGAAGCTGGAAGTTCAAACTCACCAGCCACTCCTCAGAAAGAAGATGGAGCAATCTACTTCCATAGTGATACTGCCTTGGAAACCCAAGGAGGGTTCGCTACGAGTTGGATCCGACTCACGGGCACATAACAACAACAATGTATGAGTGCCAGGCCAGTGGCAAGGTGGGTCAGACTGCCTTCTGGGTTTGAATATTCTTGCAGTGTTTGTCCCATTGTTTTCTAATAATGCTGTTTAGTTATGTTGGTCACAAAAATTTGAAATATTGTTTTATTAAGTTCATGAAACTAGCCATATCTAGATTATGGAGATATGTGAATATATAAATACAAGAATTAATCAGTTTAATTTTAAAAACATACATGATTTTAAATTAAACTGATAGATTTCTTCCATTCTATCAGTCTTTTAAGATTGGCATGTTCCTTAAGAAGATCCATCTGGTAAAAATTTAAAGGAACAATATCAACCAAATGGAGTCCAGGTATAGCTGCCTGATAGGCATGTCTAAATGAGACCAAGTAGCATTGTTTACCTTGACATAAGTTTGGCTCCTATAATCATATGTAGCATAAACTCTGTGGAATTCAATGCTACAATGGCTATAGTTAAACTTGTTTCCTGCTTTGTGAACCTCCAACATTTGGAACTTTCAGAAAGTCATTATACCTAAGTTTTTTTTTTGTTGTTTTGTTTTGTTTTTTAAGGTAGAGTATAAACCTGAATATATAATGCCAAAGTAGTTAGTCATTTGGGAGCTCTGGTAGTGTAGTGCCAAGGCATTTGACTGCTAACCAGAAAACCAGAAGGTCGGCAGCCACTCCTTGGAATGAAGGTTGGGCAATCATTTATTTTAGATTAAGGGACTAAATCTATCAATCATAATTATCTGTGTCAGAAAGACATCTGATTCTCTAAAGAGTGGTAAAGGTAAAATATTCAAAACAATGGGATGTAATTCTGGGATTTCTAAGAATTGGATCAAGATAGCCCTATTTTATAAAAAGAGCTTCAAATAATTCTGATGCACATTCAACTTAGCATAAACATCTCTAGCCTAGATCAAAGACTCTTAAATTTTCATGATTAGAAGTACATAGAAATAAATTATAAGTTTAGCAAAAGGGTAAAATTTGACAGTGTATTAGGACACTGGGTCTCTAGGTGGTGCAAGCTATTTGTAGTCAACTACTAACCTAAGGTTCGTCATTCAAAGGCATCTAATGGTATCACAGAAGAAATTCCTGGTAGTTTGCTTTCCTTAAGATTACACCCAAGAAAAACCTATGGAGTAGTTCTACTCTGTAACACATGGGGTTTCTATGAGTCAAAATGGATGTGATGGCGGTAGAGTTGGTGTTTTCCTTATTAGGGCACTGAGTTTTATTATACATATATATGCTATTGTTTTTCCAGGATTATTACAGGATCTGTCATGTAGTAGTGACAAAAAAAAATGTGTTAGAAGAATGAATGAATGAATTGACTAATGAATGGTGGCAAATATCAGTGTTTCTCTATCCATTTTGAACAGAAATGAGGGAGTCATGATAAAGCACCTATCAAAAATAACTTCATTTCTAATTGGATCTTGATTGTTCTGACTGGAAATCCTGGATGTTGATAATAAACAATTGTAAGAAAATGTGCTGATTCACATTGGTGGTGATTTGTGTACACGATGACATTCTTGCATTTTTATTGGGATTTGTCTGTATTACTCATTCTTTATTTATACAAATTCCTTTTAAATCAATGGCAATGAATCATGTGTATCCAGGGCTCAATGTGTTTCCCCAAAAGTTAGATTGTAGCATGGCTTATCATCAGCTCTGATTCTAAATAATAGTGCCTGTCTTGCTATCCTTTGCAGCCAGCTGTTGCAAACTCTGATATCATGTTTATTAAAATTCACATTCCATGGGACACACTGTGCAAGTATGCAGAGAGGCTGAATATCAGGATGCCTTTCAGGTACTTTCAAATCTTCTCTCTATGTTAATGTGTATTAAGATGACTCTGTCTTTTGCGATGCTTTAGAACAGTAAATATAACCCTTCCTAAAAAGGAAATTTTTTTTCTTTCGAAGTTTACTTTTTCTGGACATTTATTTCCTTCTACTTTGCTTGCCTAATGTGAAAATCTTCCTGATTCCCTGGATACTTCATGTCATTTCAGGGTTGACGTACCCAGAGAGAGGGAGAAACAGTTGTTTTCAAATTTTATTTTGTAACATCATTTCCAAAATCAAGTTCCCTTCTTATTTCCTATGAGTGGATAGACTTCTTGTTATATTTTGTGGAATGCTGTTGTTGTCATGTGTCATCGAGTTGGAACCGACTCATAGCAACCTCTCCTTGGGTTTCTGAGGTAGTATCACTATGGAAGTAGATTGCCCAAACTTCCTTCCAAGGAGTGGCTAGTGCTTTTGAACCGCCAGCCTTCTGGTTAGCAGTCAAGTGCTTTAGGCAGTATACTATAGAATTGTATAAGATCCATAAGTATATAAATACAATGTACTTCTCTGTATAGAGATTAATAAGAATAATCTCTCAGTTATAACTTAGTTCTTAGCTATCTTCAGTACCAAGGAGGAAATGAGACAAATAAGAGGACAACTCAGTTTAAAGACTTCTCAGTCTTACCTCTAAACTAATCAAACCCATTGTTGTGGAGTCTATTCCAACTCACAGTGACCCTTCAGATCAGAGAAAAACTGCCCTACAGGATTTACAAGGCTGTAAATCTTTATGGAAACAGACCGCCTCATCATTCTCTTGCAGAGTGGCTGGTGGTTTCGAAAACTGACCTTTTGGTTAGCAGCCATTTTCAACCACTATGCCACCAAGGCTTTGTCCTTCCTCTAGGCAGGCAAAAATGAAATACATGTAAATTTCCCTCTATTGAATATCTTGCATTATGTGCAGGATGGTATTGCTTCCCTCCATCATTTCTCAAAGTAAATTTCAATGTTCAGTCCCTACTGTATGCCAAGTGTCAATTCACTGTGAAAGGAACATTTACTCTGATTTGGGGCTCAGCATGCTTCATCAGCAGCTAAAGAAGTATAAAGAATTTCAGAATAAACAGAATGCCAAGTAAAAGTCTCTAAATAATGAATATGAGAAAGCATTAAGAGTGCAATGTGAAAACTCAGGGAAATCCGTCAGTAGCAGCATAGCTACCTCTGGGAGGAGTGCTGACATCCTCTATTCTGATAACAAGCCTCTAAGGTATTCAAGCTAAAATATGAGGTTTTGATCCTTATCAAAACTTAACAATAAATGGAAAAGAAAAAAAAAAAAAAGATAAAGGAAAGTCTTTCCAGTTTGTCAGCATTTCAACCAAATAATCCAAACAATGGGTGAGATTACAAAAGTAACCTGAGCTTTGTACATTTTGATGAACTTTGGTTCCTGAAAAATGCAAGGAAGACCTTAAAGATCATTCAAACAATATCATTTTAATGGTTTCAAATTACAGAGTCAGTTCAGGTTGGGTAAATATAATGCCAAAACATCTGATTAAAAAGACAGTGTGGCTTATACCTGCCCACTCTGGACCTTATATAAAACAAAGGCTTGCCAAGAGTCTAGCAGATTATTTTGTTTATACTTTCTGTGGAGAGCTTTGTCATCATTTGACTTAGATCCTGGTGTATGCACATATTAGTAAGATTCACTTATCCTTTCATTTAAACAAAGAACAAACTGTGCATATAATATCCAGAACAAGTTTGCTTCACACCAGGCATTTGACAATCATATTTCAAAGATGGTTTTCCTATATTTGTCAATATTCAGTGAAAACTGTGAGAGCCAGAACTCGATGAGAGTGCATTATTTTTCTGAGTCTCTTGTTTTGTGCCTTCAAGGGTGCATTCTTACCATTTTCTATCACTTGATTTAGTGGAAAATATTTGTGTTTCTTTCTCTGACAGATTTCCACTTACACAGATTCTGGTTTTCTCAGGTTTTACTGTACATCCAAAATATGTTCATTCTGCTATAGGCTATGAATAAAAATTTGAGGCAGCTACATGATAAATGGAGAAAAGATTGACATTGTCAGGGATTTCATTTTACTTGGATATACAACCAACAGCCATGGAAGCAGAAGTCAAAACATCAGTCATCATATTGCACTGGGAAAATCTGCTACAAAAGATCTCTTCAATGTGTTAAGGAGCAAAGATGTCACTTTGAAGACTAAGGTACACCTAACCCAAACCATGGTATTTTCAATTGCCTAGTAAGGCATATATGCGTGTACAAACAGGATAATGAATAAGGAAGACTGAAGAAGAGTTGATGCCTTTGTCAAAGAATACTAAAAACACCATAGACTGTCAGAAGAACAAACAAATCTGTCCTGGAGGAAGTGCAGCTGGAATGTGCCATGGAAGTGAGGATGTCATCTCACCTACTTTGGTCTTGTTGTCAGAATAGATCATGCCCTGGAGAGGATATGATGCTTGGTAGAGAGTCAGTGAAAAGGGGGAAGAACTGCAGTGAGATAGAGTGACACATTGGCTGCAATGATGGACGTAAGCACAGCAAGAATTGTGAGGATGGCACAGGACTAGCCAGTGTTTTATTCTGTTGTACACAAGGTCACTGTGAGTCGAAACCAACTCAGAGGCACCTAACAAAAGCAACACAGAGACAATGGCAACACAGTCTCCGCTGTCATACTCTTCATATAGCTCTTACTATCATCTCAGCTGGATCTTACTTATTTTCAAAACGAAAGTCTATTAGAACATATCAGCCTTCTTTGTCTCACTTCTCTTATCCCTATCATCTTGGATGAATTTCAAAGATGTCTTAAGTGAGAGTAATCATTATTCTGATAATTTTGCTATGAAAAGAAAAACTTTACCAACTTTAATTTTTCTTTCTTTTCCTTGTTGTTGTTGTTATATGCCATCAAGTTGGACCCGATTTATAGTGACCCCTCCTTGGGTTTCTGAGGCAATATCACTATGGAAGTAGATTGCTCAACCTTCCTTCCAAGGAGTGGTTGGTGGCTTTGAACTGCCAGCCTCCTGATTAGCAGTCAAGTGCCTTAGGCACTATGCTACCAGAGCTTCTTAGGTGCATTAAAAAGAATTTTCTTCTCTGACATGTAAAGAAAATCTTGCCTGATTATGAGTTTGTATAGATTACAGCTCTGTGCCAGCCAGTGTCTTTCTATCTCAGGGAGATTTTGAAGAAAATAATTCTCTTCAGTCAGAGAATTTTACTTTTTTTTTTTAATGATAATGTATGTATTTTTTTTTTTTTTTTAATTCCTAGTGAGGTTTCATTTGAAAGAAATGCTATGATTACATAGAGGGAAAAAATTCCATGGGATGAATTCATGAGATTACTATATCTTCTTAATGATGTTTTGACTTAAATTTCTTCTTTATGATAAAAAATTGTTACAATTGCTGCATTACTGAAAAGTTTAGAGTGGCTTGGGATTAGATGTAGTTGCAAGACAATAGCAAGTTAAAAATTTGTAAACTTAGATAGTCTCTTTTGTAACACAGTCCTCTGTAGTTAACCTAGTAGGTGATTTTCTGAAATATCTACACACATTTTTTCCTGGGGCATGCTACACAAGCATACTCCCAAAGCATCCTGGCAAACCTTTCCTGGAAAATATTTCTTCATAATCCACATCCTTCATATCCTTGCTTCCTCCATTGTTTGCTGAGGGTGGCAAAAGTTTTGCAAGAAGCTACATGTCACAAGGTTCTAAATCACAGGCTGTATTCTTAGGAAGGCAGAAAAGAAGAGTTAGGATAAAATAAAATTTAATTTAAAAAATGGAGCTTTGATTCAAACCTAGGTCAGTCATTTTTATTAATGCCAAGCACCTCTGTTTTAGAGTACCCTCACACAAAATGCTACTGAAATACTTAAAATTTAATAAGATAAACATTAGGAAGAATGAACCATTTTTGCAAAGTATGCCAAAAGAACAATAGTTCTACATCATCTTAAAATAAAAATATTCTGTAGTCAGATATGTTTGTGACATTTGGAGTTAAATAATAAGTTTCATTATTGCAAAAATTCTTAAAGAAGTGGTTATCAGTCCTTAAAATGCCTCAAAGTCACTAAGACAATTATTGAAAATGAAGATTCTGGGCCTCTGCACCATGTGTTTCTGGCATATTTGATCTGCGATGGGATCTGGTATATATGTTTTTAATAAGCATCCCAATGATTCTAATGCAAAGAAATACTGTCTTGGAGACATTCATATTTTGATATTCTTTGTAAATTTCAAGAAGTAGCTATATAACACAGCTGTTTCCCGATTTCCATCTCATTGTGTTTTACCACATAGTTCTTTTGGAACCCCTTTTCAGTTTAAATAATAGATGTAGCATTAACTAACTCTTAAATAACTTAACTGTTCTATGAAGTACACCTGAAAGTTGTGATAGCAGCCACCTTGTTATAGGAGAGTCCTATTCAGGAATACACTAGCCGTCAAAATGTTCTCAAGATGGCCAATTCAGTCTTGGAGTGGCAATTATTATCACATTCAAACATATACACTTAAAAATTCAGTATCTTTGCATTGATTTTAATACAAAAAACTTAGCATGGCTTATAAGGGCCCTCATCATCTGTAATTTGTTTAGTACCCCTGCTCCTCTTTAGCCACCTCTTAATTTTCAAAGTATACCCAACTCTTACCAAATTAATTACTGTTCTTGAATTATGCAATGTTTATTTTTGCCCCATAACCATTTTATATGCAGCTAACTCTTTTTTATTGATGTGCTGCTGAAACTGTTTTTGAATTATCTTCAGCAAAATTATACTTGCATGTGATGTTGATGATATTGCTCAGTGATTTCTGTTGGATCACTTTTCTTTGGGATGGATCCACAAATATGGCATGGAACGAGGGGTACCATGCTGATGTCAGATGGATCTTGGCTGAAAGCAGAGAATACCTGGAAGATCTTTACATGTGCTTTATTGATTATGCAAAGGCATTTGACTGTGTAGATCACAACAAATTATGGATAACATTGTGAAGAGTGGGAATTCCAGAACACTTAATTGTCCTCACAAGGAACCTGTCCCTAGAACATTCAAACAGAACAAGGGGATACTATGTGGTTTCAAATCAGGAAAAGTGTTAGTCAGGGTAGTATCCTTTTACCATACTTTTTCAAACTTCATATTGAGCAAATAATCTGAGAAAACATACTATATTAAGAAGAATGCAGCATCAGCATTGGAGGAATACTCACTAACAACCTGTGATATACAGAGGGCACAATCTTGCTTGCTGAAAGTGAAGAGGAATTGAAGCACTTACTGATGAAGATCAAAGACTATAGCCTTCAGCATGGATTACACCTTAACATAAGGAAAACAAAAGTCCTTATAAGCAACATCCTGATAAATGGAGAAAGGATTAAAAGATATCACTTTGAAGACTAAGGTGTACCTGATCCAAGCCCCAGTATTTTCAGTTGCATCATGTGCATGCAAAAGCTGGACAATGAATTAGGAAGACTGAAGAATTCATGCACTTAAATTATGATGTTATTGAAGAATATTGAATATGCCAAAGACTGCCAGAGAATTGAACAAATCTGTCCTATAAGAAGTACAACCAGAAGCTCCTTAGAAACAAGGGTGGCTAGACACCGTCTCATGCACTTTGTCATTTTATCAGGAGGTCCCAGTCCTGGAGAAAAACATCATGCTTGATAAAGGAAGTAAAAAGGAATAAGAGCCTCAGTGAGATGGATGGACACAGTGGCTGCAGCAATCTGCTAAACATAGCAACAATCATGAGCATGGCTGAGGGCTGGGCAGTGTTTCATTCTGTTGTGCACAGGGTCCCTATGAGACAGAAACAGCTCAATGGCACCTAAGAACAGCTTCTTTATAAAATGTGTTATCTTAACTACTTTATTCAGAGAAGTACTCCCACTCATTCTCCAGCATGCAGTACAGATAACACATCCACTGGGAAGTTGTCCCTGTCGCCTTTCTCCTCCACTCACACAAACTAATTTCATTTCCTTCTTAGGTAATTCCATAGCTCACTCTGTTTTTCTACATCATCTAACTTTATTTTAATTGTCTAATTACTCATCTCCTTGATTCTAAAGGAAGCTCCTTGAGAGCAAAAACTATTTTTTACCTCTAAATTTTCAGTGGTTATACCCAAAGCATTCCTTGACAAATTTGGAGTTTTCATTGCTTATTTATTTAATGGATAGGTAGAGGGTGGATAAATAAAAGAATGACTTCATAGAACATTTATGCAAATGACCTGGTTAATATGCATTGTGTGGCAGAAGACAGACTACTAAAAATAGAATTAAAAATTACATATGCAAAAGAATATGTTGATTTTTTAGAGTGTATTTTTAGTAGTAACTTTAATTCCCAACATTTTATAAGTTCAATGATTCTCATATCACACTTTCTTTAGTATATGATAGTCAGAAGATTGACATGCTCCATATAATTGAGTGTTGTCCTCACTGATTTTGCTTTATTTTCATGTGACTATCCTCAACTTATTTCTATTATTTTTCAGGAAAAAGTGCTATTACACTGACCAGAGGAGCAAATCGATGGGCAGGTTGGTGGGTGATGTGAAAATTCATTATGACCAATTTGTCATTTGGCAATAACAGTAATAATAATCACATTCACATATCTGTATCAGCACTTGTAAATTTTAGGAAGAAATCTATTCTTTTTTCAAAATAACTTATGCCAAATTGAACAGTAGTTAAAGTCAGATAACTTCTTTGACTTTACTGTCAAATTTTTGTCATTTCTGAAATCCTCTCATGATCAACGGTAGAGGGAGAATTTTTAAATTGCAAACAGCATCTTAGGAGATTTTAATTTATTTTAATAACTGTAAAACCGGGATCAATGAGTTAATGATGACTCACTAGAATTATAGACGCAGTATAGACTTTCTGGATCATTCGGTGCAACTATCACACCTGGCAGAGGTGGTGAGAGAAAGACGAGGGTCCAGAGGGGTGAAACGGTTTTCTAAGGCCATGCGGCATCTTTAGAGTCACACATCTGTACTTACTTGCTATTGAAAGCTGCCTCTCTTACTCTAGTGTTGAAAACAAACATCAGAATTATCATTCCTAACCAGCCACTCCTCTGAAGGAAGGTTGGGCAATCCTACTTCCGTAGTGATACTGCCTCGGAAACCCAAGGAGGGGTCGCTATGAGTCGGGCCGACTCTACGGCACATGACAAACAGCCATTTACCTGTTGTGTAGCTAAGGCCAAGGACTCAGTCAAACCAGGAAGTCAGTCAAACCTGAACATCAAGTGCTCCCCCACCACCGCCCCTCCCTCAGTCGCCTTGGCACAGTTTCACTGAAAGAAATGAGCTTTCCTTTAATGAAGCCTCAAACAAAAGGCTTCTTACATTTGTCTGTTTCCCTGCTCATTGGAAAAGAATTAACAAAAACAAAACGTGAATATGGTAGAATAAGCTTGTATAATGTTGCAAGATATTACAATTCAGAATAACGCAAAGCTGGAAGAACCATGTTGTTGTTGTTGTTGTTATGTGCCGTCGAGTCGGCCCCGACTCATAGCGACCCCTCCTTGGGTTTCCGAGGCAGTATCACTACGGAAGTAGGATTGCCCAACCTTCCTTCCGAGGAGTGGCTGGAATGAAAAACAGACCATTTCAGGAAAGTATTCAATAAATCTAGTTCCTTTATCAGAGAGAGTGGCTGAACATAATTTTAAACTTTATACAGTAGGAAAATGTTTGGCCTCTTTTAGTCATTAAATTTAAATATGATAAGATTTTATAGCAATAAAGTAAATTGTAGGCAAAAAAAATTGAAAGTAGAGTGAATATTATAGGAATTAGTACTCAAATGACACTTACTTATTAAAAGGTACTCCTCAGCCAAGTCAGATTTTTCTGTTTGCTAAGTTAACATGCCCTGCTTTATAATGACTTCTCATCATTTTCCATGTGCGTTTTTGGTCCTGGTCAGTTTATTTCTATGTAACAAATTTCTGACATAGGTATTTTTGCACATTTAAGAAAGTCAAAGTCACTGAAATATTATAATGTAAATTTACAACTGCAGGTTTTTCTTGTCTCTCTGCATGTGCCTGCTAAATGTTAGATGTGTTGATAAAATTTCTGTGGGTTTGCCTCAGTGTTCTACGATAGAATCAGTGAGACTTTACCCAGCAACAGTTTTCTATCAAACAGGACATATTCTTTCAGAGACTTACAGAAGGGTAAAATCCCATATATTAAAATCCCATCAAATGTAAGCATATATAATATTATCAATTAGTTTTATCTAAACTTGTTTTTAGGATACATGTAAAAACGTGCATGTTAATCTCAAAGAAACACTTTTTAATAGTTAAAAAATGCTCTTTCTATTCTGGTCAAAGGTAAAAATTAACCAGAAAAATTAACACTATATTCTAGATTGTGATATGTTTTCCATATGACATATTCCAGTTGTTATGAAGATTGTTAAAGTGGTTAAAATATTGCCATAGTCCATTCTACCTCCTGAATGGTTTAATTATTGTAAGTAGTTCACTTTGTTCCTTGACTTTGTGAATGCATATGGGGAGGGGTAGGAAATAAGAAAGGAGTTTACAAAATTATATAAACTATATTAAACTGAAATGTATAATTTGATGATACTTCTCTTTTAAATTGAAAGTTAACCTTTAAACTAAGGAAATGATTGATTTTGTTTTTGTAACTTTACCTTTGGAGAAGAAAATTTATATATATGCCTACATAATATGTATATGTATACACACATATATATCATTGTTAAAAAATTATTAAACTCTATTTGTGGACATTTTAGAAAATAGAAAAATGAAAATCAGATAAGTGCACTTTGAGTTCACTCATGCTTTTCTTTTATTGAGCTTGGAAAGAAATTTTGTGCTTGGTTAATTTTGGCCAGTAAACATTAGGGAATAAATAATACTCAGGCACTTGTCTAGTTTTTGAAGATCATCATCATTTCTCCAGGCAAGTTGGCAAGAAATGGCTGTAGTTTTATTATTATTGCATTTTAGCTTTTATTTATCCAGGATTTTCACATTCAGTTGTCAAAGGATCTTCAGAATGCCATTGTGAGGATGGCAGAATAAAGAATATATATAACATTTGCTATACACACACACACACACACACATACACAGTATTTCATTGTGGTTTAGGTGAAATTTTACAAAGCAAATTAGTTTCCCATTCAACAATCTGTACATAGATAATTTTGTGACGTTGGTTGCAATCCGCTAAATATGTCAACACTCTCCCCACTTCCACCCTGGGTTCTCCATTTCCGTTTGTCCAGCTTCCTGCCTTCTGAATTTTTCTTTTTGGCAAATGCTGCTCTTTTGGTCTATTATAGTTGAATGTTCTGAGAAGCATGTTCCTCCTGGGTAATATTGTTCACTTTATAGGTCTGTCTGTTATTTGGCTTTAAGGTGGTCTCCAGGAGTGGGTTCAGTTCTAAGTTTGAAGGGTGTCAGAGGGCCATAGTCTGAGGGGTTGCAAGACTTTATCATTCCAGTAAGTCTGGTCTTTTTTATGAATTTGAATTTTGTTGAACATTTGTTTCTCACTCTAACTGGCACCTTCTGTTGTCAGAGCAGAGCTGTTGGTAGCGGTAGCTTGGCACCATCTAATTCTTCTAGTTTCGAAGTGGAGGCTGTTATTTGTGTGATCCATTAGCCCTTTGGATTGTTTTCTTGAGTCTTTGGTTTTCTTCATTTTTCTTTGCTCCAGACTGTAAGAGACCAGTAGTTGTATCTTAGATGGCTGCTCACAAGCTTTTAATACTCCAATACTACTCACCAAAGTATGATGTAGAACACTGTTTTTATGGACTATATTTTGCCAATTGACCTAGTTGTCCCCCAAAACTATGGTCCTTAGCTGTCAAGCCCAGTAGTTCAGTCCTGCAGGGTGTTTGGTTATGGCTAAGATGTTATCCTAACTGTGCCCCCGTATGTTCTATTATATACATAGATACATTTGCAGCACATACAAATATGTATGTAGAAAAATCCACTGCCAAACCTTTATATGCACATGGTTGTACTTCCATATGCCATCCCACAGAGATTCAGCTTACTTATTTACCTGTTCTTCTACTCATAAATTATTGCATGTTATTATTGTTGTAGCAGGATCATGTATGGAATTTTCCTTACTGTTATCTTTTACTTTTACTTGTCTCTCAGTGTCTTCCTGCCTTGGTCATGTTGTTCTGATATCCCCCATTTCATATATGTCTTTCCTTTCACCCAAGTTAACAGGCATCTACCGTTTAGTTTGTGGTTGCATCTCCCTTTCCTGGTAACCATCAAATGTTTCTTTCTGTGTGAAAACCTTTTCTTAACTTTTCAAATTAGTGGTTTCACACAATATTTGTGACTGACATATTTCACTCAGCATAATGTCCTCCAGGTTCATTCATGTTGTGAGGTGTTTCATGGCTTCTTTGTTATTCTTTAATGTTATACAGCATTCCATTTTGTGTTTATACCACTGTGTGTTTATCCATTGCTCCACTGATAAGCACTTTGGTAGTTTCCATTTTTTTTGCTATTGTAAATAATGCTGCAATGCACATTGGTATACATATGTCTATTTGTTTCATGCACATTATTTCTCTGGGATATATTCCTAGAATGAGAATGATGAATTATGTATTTCTGTTTCTGGGTTTTTAAGGATGTGCCATCCTGTTTTCTACAGTGGTTGTATCAGTTTTCATTCCCACCAGCAGTGTATAAAAGTTTTAATATCCCCACATCCTTGCCAGCATTTTGTGTTTTCCATTTCGTTTATTTTTTTATTTATTTTTTATTTATTTTTTGATCATTGCCATTATTGCCAAGGCGAGATAGTATCTCATTGTATTTTTTTACTTGCATCTCTTTAATGGAGAATGATCATTTCTTCATGTGTTTGTTGGCTGCCTGAATGTCTTCTTTGGTGAAGTGTTTCTTCATGTTCTCTGCCCATTTTTTAAATTGTATTCTCTGTTTTTTGTTGTTGTTGTTGTTGTTGAAATGTTGAATTTTTCTACAAATTTTAGAGGTTAGTTCCTTGTCAGATATGTTGTTGTTGCCGAAAGCTTATTCCCAATCTCTAGGTTCTCCTTTTACTCTTTTGGAGAAGTCTTTTGATGCATTTAGGCATTTAATTTTTAGGAGATCCCAACTATATTACTTATCTTCTGCTATTTGTGCATTTTTAGTCATGCTTGATAGTCTATTTATACCATAGATTAGGACCTCTAGGTTTGCTGGTATTTTTTCTTTCATGATCTTTATAGTTTTAGGTTTTACATTTAGGTATTTGATCCATCTTAAGTTAGTTTTTGTGTACGATGTGAGGTATGGATTTTGTTTCATCTTTCTGCAAATGGGTATCCAGTTTTGGCAGTACCATTTATTAAAGAGACTTTGTCTTACCCATTTAATGGATCCTGATCTTTGTCAAAAATCAAAAATCCATAGGTGGATGAATTTACATCTGCATTCTCAGTTCTGTTCCAATTGGTTTGTGTGTCTGTCTTTGTATCAATA